CAGCTTCTTATCACTGGTAACGACGCGGCTTTCCTCTCACTCATTCCCGCAGCTTCACAGTGCTTTAAACAGTGAGTTCAATAGCAAAGCATAAATGCTGGGCTTTGTCCCGCCCATCGGACGCTCAACGTCTCTGGGGGTCTATGGGGCAGTGGGCTGGCCTCGGCTGGCCCGGACGCTCAGCTTCTGCATGATGATTGGATGATCTGTCTGAGGCTGAATCCCTTTTTGATTGACAGCGAAATGAGCGAATCAGCGATCTTGAAATTGAGCTTCCCCTCCTTGAAAGACCAGCATCCGCCACTGGTGTGCATAATTGTTTGTGTGTTGCCATGCAATAGATTGGCGGCCTGTCCAGGATGCACCCTGCCTTTAGCCCCTAGACTTCTGGGCATAGGCACCAGCTCCCCCGTGACCCACTATGGAAAAAGCAGTATAGAAGAATAATGAAGAAGTGCTACAATTTCCACTGAGACAGTCAAGCAGTAGTAGAAAAGGATGAGACTTCAACTGAAAATAGATCTGAGTGTCATCTGGATATAAATTAAATGAGATGTTAAATATTCTAAAGATGGAGCCTAAGGGAAGCAGAAAAATAAAATGGGTCCAAGAATTGATCCTTGGGAACACCACATGTGAAGGGAGCTGAAGGGGAAACAGACTCTATGAGGCCTAAAGAGAAACTTCCATCCTTCCACCCATTTTCTTTACCCGCTTCTTCCATACTGGGTTGCAGGGGAGCTGGTGCCTATCTTCAGCAGTCTATGGACACCCAGGACAGGTAGCTAGTCCATCACAGGGCAACACAGAGACATACAGGACAAACAACCATGCACACACCTATTCACACCTAAGGGCATTTTTTTATTTAGAGAGACCAATCAACCTAACAGTCATGTTTTTGGACTGTGGTAGGAAGCCAGAGTACCCAGAGAAAACCTACGCCTGCACAGGGAGAACATGCAAACTCCATGCAGAAAGACCCCCGGCCGGGAGTAGAACCCAGGACCTTTGTGCTGCAATTCAACAGTGCTACCAACTGCACCACCGTGCAGCGCTAAGTAGAAACCTCTGACAGACAAATAAGGCCCAAACCAGTCCAGTTCAGAGACTCTGATACCACTTAAGTTCAGATCAAATATGTTTACATTTAAAAAGACCTCAGAACACATGTTCAGGCTACAGGCTGAAAAGCAATACCACACCTTTCCTAAAGGGTTTGAATTAGAGACCAAAGTTGATTATAAGAGATGGTCCAGATGCACTACTCCAGGACCGAGAAGTGTGTACAATCAGGTAATAAAGACAAAAAATTTTCAACTTTCATAAGTGTCCAATGATGAGAAAATTAAGGCAAAAAATTAAGTAAGAAACCGGAAGTATACAAAACCGCATGAACCATTCAGAGGTTAAAAGGAAGGAAAACACTAAATTATAGCATAATAATTTATTTTTCCATATGTGATGTCTGGTATCATTATTAATATGGTTTGGGCTAATTTTGTCTGTTGCCCAGGTCACAAGAGCATTATTAGATTAAGTTTTGAACAATACTGACCAATTTTATTTTTAAATATCCAATCCTTTGTTGTAAACTGAATCCTGAGATCAAACTAAGCACTGCAGGGTAATTCAGAGATTTAGATCATTTATATCACTGAGCAAGCATCTCATTGTATTTTAAATTAACTGGTTTTATGATTTTTTGTTTGTTTGAACAGGTTTATTGAGTAGCATTTATTTCCAATTCTGTATGTATTAAAAAACTCTTTTGCGAACCAATTTTAATCTCTTGATAGAGTACACTTCATTCATTTTCCTATTATTAACTTAATATGCCTTAATGCACATTTAGTACTGAATGCAAGCTCTAATTTCTCTCCAATACTCCAGAACTAAATCTCAGACAGAAATAGTTGTGGAACAGATGAGAGAAAATGCAAAATAAAGTCAAGTCTGACCACAGCAGTATAGGTAGGACAAAAGTCAGAGAGCTCAGAGAGACAGCAAACAATAATCATGGGAATACTGTCATTCTAATGTGGTATAATCTGTTGCACTTGCATCATTCTCACTCCATCAACTCTGCATCTCAACTACTCAAGGTGCAGCGCAGATCTCATGTTGGAAAGTTATAGAAAGTTGTAAATGTGGGTCTCGAACATTCCACATATCCGTTCAGTTTGTTTCCCAGCAGTAGCGTTGCGTCATCGGATCAGACTGGAAGCAACACAGCTGATTCGGAGCATTGACAGAGTGATGTTAAAGGATTAACAGGTCATGTTGTTCATCCGTTATATAATCTGACTCCACATTTGACCCAGAGGCTCTCCACACACCTACATTAGTTTTTCTGATGAGTTTAGTTTTGGTGGTGCAGAAATTTTAGGAACTTTTTTATTACGCTGAAATTGTTAGCATTCTAAGGGAAATCTCAGCTCTTTAAATTTGGTTTGACTTTATAGTTAATAAATCATGCTGTTAATCAGGGGAAGGCAAGTAGTTTTACTAAACTAAAATGAACTTCTTCAGTTCCTACTGAAGATGTAGTCGTGTGACTGTTGTCACATGCATCTGAAGTGCTTCACATTTTCAACTCTGTGAATGAATGTAGAACATCCATCTGTTACATATGTTCACATTTGAGCAAAAATGTCCATAATTGTCAGTAATGTGACATTGGAGTGTAAATAACCATGACTACTATTAATCGTGTGTCTGTAGACAGATTCATGTCTGACTTCTGTGAATGTATTTGGTGAATTTTGAAAGCTAATGTGATGACTGGGTGTTTTTTTATTCAGAGCATTTTTAACATGCCTGACAATATCACTTGGCTCAAACAGTTTGCTTTTTATGAGAACATTTATAAATCAGAGGAATACCTCTCATGTATCTAGGACCTAGACTGATGAACAAACCAGTTGGTAAAACAAACAAAGATAAATGTGCATCAGTAGGTCATTGAACCACACAACATGTCTTTCAGTTTTTTATGTGGAGTTTCATCCAAATAGCACACAAAAAGGTCTCCACAGGGACTTCAACCCAGAACCTTCTTACTGAACACCAACATCTACTCCCTGCCAGTTTGAGGCCATGACGTTGGACCTGAGTTTCAGAAACCATAGATATCAAAGCAAAGACTGGCACATCCCCATGGAATTTAGAAGGTACTATAAATACAGATGTATGTGTTATGGTGTGCAGGTCCAAAGCCAGTGGTTCAGATTCATGTGACATGCTTTGTTGCAAAAATGAAGCAATGAGAAGTCATTCTATGCAGGTTATTCTTTATATATAAGAAGTAACAGAAAATGACCGTAAATGATTTTATTTTGTGCCATTTTGAATGCGTAAGTCAGAGTCAGACGTTCTAAACTTGATATCCTATTACTATAATCTCTCCATGACGGTCTGGCTTATACAATGGTATTAAAATCATTCATTCCGTAGAATTCTGTTGTAGATATATCAGAATTGTATATTTACATGGCTCTAATTACATGTTACCAGAGTAGGCGGAACAAAATTATGAGTTGTATGCTGCTGCAAGATACACACAGTTTGGTGCAGCAGAGTTTAACTTACACTGTTATGCATGAATATGATGCAGCAACAAAAGCATGCAAAAAATGGTTGCATTTCTCCATAAAAAAGGAAAAACTAAGTAAAGAAGACCCTGTGTTAGATCGTAATTATATCTTTCAGTTGTGCCCTGATCCAGTTTTCTATTGGTCATTTGCATTCCCAGTCACACTGGAGAGAGGCAACCCTCCTGAGTAATGACATTGAAGTTGGTATCTGCTTTGAATACTCCTGTTTGGTGCTAAATTAAAGGACTATTTCACAGTTTTCAGGTACTCTCTAACTGCGCCATCTCTAGTTCAAAATCTAAAATACTATTACCGATCAAACTTTGACAAAATTATTTTCCAGAAAATACAATATATACAAATATATACCTTAATTCTATTTGTAAAAAGACAAAAAGAGAGCATTTTCGACATGTTTTAAGCATTATAACCCCTTTAGATTGAGAATAGCAAAAAATGTTCTCATTATTCTGGGATTTAGCAAATACAAATAATATTGGTAATCCAAAACGTTTAACTTGATTTAACCTTAGCCTGGCCCAGAAGAAGGTTCCGGTGCTGTGGAAGACCTCCTGTCTTGTTCCGGTACCAAAGAAAACTCACCCATCAGTCCTCAATGACTATAGACCTGTTGCCCTGACATCTCACATCATGAAGGTCCTAGAGAGAC